CCCAAGTCTGTTTTTCCTCCCCTCCCCACCTCTGCTCTCAGAGTCAGGAACATCTCGTAGCTCGCTCTAGCACCTTCCAAAAGCAAACCCAGGCCCGTTTCTCCCTGGAGCCAGACAACTCCCGGACATCCTTTTGTCCAGCAGAGAATACGGCACCCCGCAGTGGTGCTGCGCCCGGCCAGGCACCCTCCCTGCGACCCTGCGGACGCTTTGAGCCGGTTGCAAAGCGAGTTTACAAGCCGTTCTGTTGTATGAACGTTGCTCGTTACACCCTGAACACGCAAGTGCAAGAGAAGATGAAATACAAAGCTCTTAAATGCAGTTCACAATGCACTGAACTCTCCTACACTTCATTAGCCCTGTACTGAAACATTATAATTGATCTCACAAGTACTGTCGTGGCGGGGTAACTTTTGCCCAACCTGTATGTCATAACTCCCCAGAACCCCTTACCAATACTGCATTTCTGCCTCTCTTTACCTGAGACACAGAACAATGGCCTTTATCAGGCTGTATTCAGACTTCTGAAGCCTGTCAAAGGCACAAAAAGGTAGAGAAGAGATCCAAATGAAAAATAATTATGTTTTTCAGGGAACTTGGAATGGGCCTGGAATTCCTGATCTTTGGCAGTTAAACAAAGGCAGAGGGCGGGAATGAGGACCACTGAGAATTAATAAATTGGTACAAATGAAAGTAGCAATACTTCAGATGACAACTGTCGATGTTGACATCTCTTCCCACCACAGAGCTGGCTGACTTAAGGTTCTGCTCCTGTGATTCAGTGTGCAGAGAAACACGGATCATACTGCTGCCTTCCTGCTCACAGGTGGGAGGTTTGTTGGCCCTGGTGCTGTGAGTGCACTGCACTACCTCTGGATACAGGCTAATCAATTCCCCAATCAGTAACGAAGCTCGGAGAGCAGCTATGGAAGTGGTGAAAAGAGTGGCTCAACAGAGGGCCTCCACTTTTCATGAAATGAGTTGCTTCAGCTTGTCTTTAGCTTGAGAAATCAGAACGCTTCGTAACCCCGAGGCTTGGTCAGTCAAGGATTTGCTGCTCTTTTGGAAACTGTTCCAAATTATATTGCAGCATTTCTGAGTCTATGTCAAGTGTTCAAGGCATGAACTTACCAAAGACCGGGGTGAGGCCTTTGCCAAAAATTGAAGACTCACTTTTTCCAGTTGAGTCATACCAGCAGATAAAGCTTTAAAAAAAACCAGAAAAAATAGCAGCAAGGCCAAAAAAAAAAACCCTGAAGAAGTTAAATCCCTGATACTGCAAATAGGTCTTAAAGTTTGAACAGTGGTTCTTGGGTTTTTTAAGAGAGAGGGCTGGCATCTAGAAAGCTGGTCTGCTGTTGCTTTTCTTAGCTGAACTCCTCAAACTCATCACTCGATAGCTCTTTCACCTCTTTTTTTTCCCCCAATGCTTTGGA